GTATGCACACATGTAACGTGCATACATTGTGCTAATGTGTGCATGTGTGCTAGTGTATAATGCTTAAATGTGAGTATGTACCTACACACATGCTTGTGCTAGTGTGTCTGCATATGTGTTAATGTGCCTGTGAGTGTATATGTGCACACACACCTGTGCAAGCATGCTTCAGTGAGGAGTGACGAGGCCTGGGCAGAGGGAAGGCTTGCTGAGTGAATGCATGAAGGAATAAGGCCTGCAGTCTCCTCTGCATCCTTCCTGGTCCCAGATAGAGATGAGCCTCTCTTCAGGAAGGAGATAGATGGCCATCAGCACATATCTCCATCACCATTACGCCCAGAAGTTCCCCTCACAGACCCCCTCCTCCTTTATAGAACATTAAAAAAAGAAAAGAATGGGGTTTACCGGATCATTCTTTCTCTACGTCATCAATTCCTGTTACTATGGTCATGAAGCTGGGCTGGGGAATAAAGGGCTCTAAAAAGACTTGTGGAACCAAAACGGTAACTAGAAGCCCCTAGCAATTAAGCATGATGAGGGGGCAGCAGGGGAACACACAGCAACTGGGTGGCCATGGTGGACAGTTCACAAAGGGGAACCAATAGTTCCAGGCATTGCTGCAGGTACAGCCCTTCTCACTGTGCAGTGACTGCCTTGGAGGGAGGAGCTCACTTTCTATCCTTGCCCCCAGGCTTGGATGTGATGTGCTTTGGCAAAGTGATTTGACAAATGTGGCCTGAGCAGAACCTTGAAAAGTGCTTGCTTGCCTATAAGATCTGCTCACTTTGGGTTTTTTTTTTTTTTTAATTGGCCAGAAATTAGCTCAGCCCAAATTGCAAACCCACAAAATCACAAGCAAACAAAATGGCAGCTACTTTAAGCCCCTAAATTTTGAGGTGGTTGTTATGCAGCAATTGATGACTGCTACAAAGGCCTTTAATAAGTCATTTACTTCTCTGTGCCCTCGTTTCTTTACCTGTAAAATGTGAGTGCTCATTCAGTAATACATCAAAGTACTTAATACAATGTGAAATCTATCCTGAGCACTCACTAAAGAGCCAGTTGTCATTGTCATCCCTGTTTTGACAACACAAGTTTTAACCCACTTGGCCAGGCTGGTAAGCAGTGCAATAGGAAGTCAAAAGCACATCTGTGTGTAATCAGTTGGCTCCACTGAGAGCCTCTACTGGAATTCCTGTTCTCTTCCTTTCTTCCCCTCTGTTTCTTTAACCCATTAAGTCTCAAGTTTTCAATTCTAAAAATATTTCAATGAAAGTGACACAGCTGCATTAAAATAGATTTGGAGATCATAACATAGAGCCCATTTATTGTATAATTTATTATTAATAACAATGTTAATGTCATTGACAATATTAATATCTTCACTAACCATTTACCTATGAGCTTTCTCAGAAGAATGGAACTCTAAAATAATTAATATTTAGGGGCTGGGGTTGTGGCTTAGCAGTAAAGCATTTGCCTAGCTCGTGCAAGGGTCTGGGTTTGATCCTCAGCACCACATAAAAATAAATAAAATAAAGGTATTGTGCAACTACAACTAAGAAATAAATATTTTTTAAAAATGAATATTTATTTCAAAGTTATCATGGTGGTATATCTGTCGCTCAATTTAAGTTTTTTAGGTGCTCCATAAATGGCAAGATGGGACATAATGGGTTAATTCCTATCCTTCCAAAGGCACCAAGCTCAAGTTCATCTCTTATTACTGTGGCCCACCTGGGGGCATCAGTTTTCTGAATCCTGTCCTTCTTTTCCTCTCTTCCCCACTCCTTCTCTCAATCAGTCTCTCACACGTCTGCTCACATCCTCCCATGTCTTCACACAAGAAACAGGCACTGAAGGCTTCAAGGAGGCCAGCACTGTGGAGAACAAGTCTCACCCCTTGTTTTCCACACTGTTCCTGCTCGATGTCTCCCATGCAAGCCACGTGTCTGCAAGTACTAGGCTCCATCTTGGGTTATATCAACAGTTCACATGTTTTACTCCATCTCTCTGCCCAGATTCTCCACTCCTTGTAGGCAAAATCAATTCCTCTCATTTATTCACAATCCATTCCTCTTCCTTTGCTTAGTCAGCACCCAGGGAGCACCAAGGATGGGCAAGAACCTGAGAGAAAGAACAACTCTGAAATGTTCCCGATCCCCCATGATGCCCTACGGTGGCAATGGGGCCAGAGCAGGCAGCCCCAAATACTTGAATTTAATGCTTTTGACTAGGGTCATCCCTCATAATCTGTGCAGGGTGGTTCCAGGCACCTCCCACATCAAAATCCACACTCTCTCAGGTCCCCTATGTAAAATGGCCTAGTATTTGCAGAGAACCTACACACATCCTCCGGTGTACTGGTTTCTTACACCACCTAATACAGTGCTATGCTACGTAAGCAGTAGTTCTACTGTGCTGTATTGTTTAGGGAATGGAGACAAAAAAGAATCTGTTCAGAATTGATGCAATGAAAAAAAAATTCTATCCTCAGTTGGTTGAATCCATGGGATGCAGAACCTGCAGATATGGAGGGCCAAATGTACTGAAGACTCAGTGTGCAGTCAAGAATAAAGGATATTGAGGAGGTACTGCTGGCACCCTGAGGGCCTCAAACAGTGGGGGAACCACTGCCCCATCTCCTGCCCACAGGCAGCTGTGCACACAGCATCTGCTAGATTCAGGGCCCATTAGGCACCAGCACCATGAGGGTCACAGAGAGATGCCACCATCCTCTTGATCTCTGACAACAGTCTGAAACTGCCCAATCTACAAGCTGCAGAAAGATGACCAGCCCCATTTTTCACAGGTGAAACTGGGAGGTGAAAGATGAGCCCAAGGCCACACAGCTATTCAATGTGGGCCTTTGGGCCTTTAGTGCAGCGATACACATCCAGTGAAGACCTGACTCCAAGCATTCCAACACAGGAGAGATGTTGACACCAAGAGATCTTTGGAAAACCGCCATAGAACTCAAAGCTCAATGGTGGTGCCTTGCAGAAAGTGTTGGGGTTTAATCTGAGTTTGAAAAATGAGTTTGACAAAAACAAGCCAAGGAGCAAAAAAGACAATTATAGACAAGAAGTGCAGTGATAAGAAGCAGAGAGTGGAGGTATTTGGGGCAATGAAAAGTGCCAAAGAGAGGAGTGCAGCTGGAGGGTGGAGGGAAGGACAGGGACCCCCGTGGTCCCTGGGGCCCTGGGATGTGGAGCTGGGATATGGGGGAAGGTAAGCCACCCGAACTCATCAAGGGTGAGATGATGATGATGGTGATAGTAACATTACTAACCCCTGATCCACTACTTCCTTATGTTCTAAACACACTTTACAAACACAACCTCCTTTCATTCTGAAAAGAACATGCAGTGAGTAGGTACAGTCAGCTCCCCCACCCATCTGCTAGTTCTACATCAAAGCATTCAGCCAACTGCAGGTTGAATGTATCTGGGAAAAAACTGCATCTGTGCTGAGCATGTAAATACTTCTTTTCTTGTCCCAAAGCAATACAATATAACAAACATTTACATACACTTACATTTATAGTTAGGTATTGTAAGTAACTTAGGGATGGTTTGAAGTGCAAAGGAGAATGCATAATACTGTGCCCTTTAACCTAAGGGACTTGAGCATACGCAGATTTTGGAATCCACAGGAGGTCCTGGATCCAAATCCCTATTGATACCAAGGGACAGCTTTACTATTATTTCTATTTTACAACTGGCTTTGAACCCAGATTTTGGCTTCAGAGTCTGTGCTTTAAGTCAGTGGGCTACTCTGCCCCTCAATGACCAGCTGATGCAAAATACTTCACATTGCAAAGCAGCAATTCTTTCTTTACCCTAAGAATGATCCAACTGAAAACTGTCCAGGACTCAACTTTTACTCCTTAACTTGGATTCATAGAATTACAAGCTTCAACATTTACTTAGGAACACTTACACCCATTTTTCTGATTGGGAAGCTGAGGCCCAGAAAAGCAAATGCCTTGCCCAAGATCCAGGTCTTCCACCTGAGGTCCAGGATCTGGACAAAGGTGCAGAGTCCCTGAGGAGTCTGCCACCTGCTGGCTGTATAGGATGTCAATACAGAAGCAGTACCAAAGAGAAGGGGCTTCAAACAGCACACAGTTCTTTTCCCTCATCTTGGGAATTTTCAAATGTCATTTTAGATGCAGAATCCTCTTCCCACTCACATAGACTTTTAATGAAAAGCTTTATAAGGAACCTCTATGTATTTACAACAATAGTTCTACTCTGAGTGCCATAGGAAGGTGAGAGGCCTGGTGTTTAACCTGCTCCCCAAGACTATGCATGGGGCTCCCCACATTCCTCTCCAAGGAAGTCAAAGCCTGCTCAAAGCACAGCCTGTGAGCACCTGCACCATAACCCAGGGTGTCTGTACTCCCAACTCACTTGCCATCTTCGATTCTAACACCCTTCTCAAGTGCAGCTGGATTTTGAGTCCTAGCATGTAACAAGGCTAGCCTTGGGCCAAACTGATCTTGTAAAATCATCCCCTGGAAACAGCAAGACAGGCTAACATGCCCAACACCTCACATCATCCTCAGAATGGGGCTCCATTGTGCAGGTGAGGATGCAAAGACCTGAACTGCATGCCTGCTTTAAGTCCCAGAGTAAGGAATAGCCCCAGTGGCTCTAGAGTCCACATCTCTGCTCTCAGTGCCTTCACACCCAGGCTACCCAAACTCAGCTCTGTGTTCTTTGCTTTCATAATATAATATCCCATATCTGGAAGGTCATTTGAATCTCATGTGAATTTTAACAACTAACATGCCTGGGCCCTACCGCAGATACAAAGAATCAGAAGCTGGGGTTGTGAATCATTATAGCCTGACATGATGTCCACTGTGACTGCAACACAAGATACAGCAAAAATGCCCAGGGTCATCCCAGACCTCTGTTTTGCCTCCCTCCAGCTCTGGGTACTGAAGACAAGGGACCCAATCCCCAAAAGCAGTGAGCCTGGGCAGAACTTACTGTGTAGAGCTCATTGGTCACCTTCAGGAGCTCCTCATGCATCTGCAGGCCAATCTCCTTACTCTGAAATATGAAAGAACAAATGTCAACATACAGAAATGATGAATATTTGAGAAGATGGAAATGCGAATTACCCTGATTTCATTATTACACATCATATACACAAATGGAATTATATTGTTCCCCATAAATATGTACAAATGTTATGCATCAATTAAATTTTTGTATGTGTGCTACTGATTATGGTGTACCATTGAGCAGGTGTGTCCCCAGCCCTTTTTTATCCTTTTATTTTTTATTTTGAAATAGGGTCTCACTACGTTACCCAGGATGGTCTTACAATCCTTGAGTAGCTGGGACTACAGGCATACATTACTGTGCCAGGCTTAATTTTTTGGCAGGGAGGAGGTTACTGGGGATTGAAACCAGGGGCATTAACCATTGAGTTACATCCCTGGCCCTTTTTATTTTTTTTTTAATGTCAGGGGAGACATTTTCTGGTTGTGTTCAGCAATTTCTTTTCAACACAGAAAGGGCAGGAATGTTTGGGATGAGGTGGGAAAGAATAAAAAAATCAACGAACCTCATTGATCTAGATCTGAATTCCTCAAACTTGTGTGTGAAACAAATTAAACTGCTTGCAAAAGGAATTCCCTAGTCATATAATCAGTGAATTCTATACATCATTCCTTACCCCGTGGCTCATAGCAATATGAGCATGTTAAAGATTCTGGAAAGCCTTAAGGAATCTTTCTTGAATTCTGTGTCCTAAGCTAGAATGACCAGAGAATGTTTTCCTTGCTCAGTGTTCATTGAACAACTCTCGAGCATAGGGTTCCATAGGTCTCAGCTTGAGTAACAATGAGCTAGCTCCACATTTCCTTGTGAGAGTAATGGAAACTCTCCTTGCATCCAGGAAATGCCCAGCAAGTCAGTGACCTTCTGCTTGCAGAAGGCCTGTCTTGGCCAGGAGCCAGCACTTAGCATCCATTGGATATCGATGTCCAGGCTTTCAGGGCCTGGTTCAACATGAATTAAATCTTGGTTTGACCCCAAATTTCAGTGCAGCCCTCTTACATGCAAGTTCCCCGAGCCACCGAATCTTGCCCTATCATTGCCTGGATTCTGATATAGCAGCAGGTCCACACTGTGGATATGTCCACGCCAACAAGGGGACAGCAGCCATGTAGGTTAGCAGAAAATCCACTGAGGCATGAGATAGGAGATGTAGGTTCTCACATCCATTGTGTTACCAAATGACCATGGAGACTTGGAAAGTTACTTCTCTTAAGATACCTCATCCTTAAATAAAAAGATTAAACTAAAACTCTTCCTGAAGCGTGGTCTGGATATCACTGTTGGTTATTACATTAAAATGACAGTGACTTCTGTGACCACATGCATTTGGGAGAAGCTTCTTGAACAAAGTTAGATAAGTTAGCTTAATGTAGGACTTTTCAGTGCCTTTAAGAATCTTAGGTACTTGGAGACTTTCTGAGAGGGAGCTGCAGTGTGTAGTTTCATTAATCATAAATCTTTTTGCATGAGGTGACTAACAAGATCCTGAAGGACATGAACACAATGAGGCAGTTATCTCCAAAAAAGTTTAGGATTCTTGTTATTGTATTTATTGTTATTTTAGTAAGTAGTCTCTGCTATGCTCTGAATGCTTGTATCCTCCCAATGTTCCTATGTTGAAATCCTCACCCCCAGGGTAAAGGTAGTAAGAGATGAGGCCTCAGGAGGTCACAAAGGTGGAACTCTCATGATGGGACTAGTGCCCTCAGAAGAAACTTCGGAGAGCTAGCAAGCCTCTTCCACCGTGAGAAGGTGCCATCTGTGAACCAGGATAAGGGTCCTCATCATGTTCCAAATCTGCCAACATCTTGATCTTATACTTCCCAGCCTCCAAAACGTTAAAAAATAATTTTCTGTCTTTATAAGCCACGCAGTTCATGACACTTTGTCACAGCAGCCTGAATGCTCTAAGACACTCTTCCTATTTGCATGGACTGCCATAATAAGTTTGCAAGTGGGAGCCCTGATCTCTGCTCTCTGAGCAGCTGAGCCATTGTGCTCTCTGTTTATCTCCCTCAGCCTCACAGCTACACCAGCTGCTGGCGGGCAAAGATCAGCCTTCCTTCCTCCAACTCTTGGTTGGGTTAGGAGGCTCAGTACCAGAAAAAATGACCTTTTTTTTTTTTTTTTTTTTACTTTTTATTTTGAGGTAGGGTCTCACTGAGTTGCTTAGGGCCTTGCTAAATTGCTGAGGCTGACCTCAAACTTGCAATCCTCCTGCCTCAGCCTCCCGAGTCACTGAGATTACAGGCATGTGCTACCATGTCCAGTTTGAAAAATGATTTCTTGGGCTCCTTCTTCTTGCCCTACAGCCCTGTCTCTCAGCATCTGGGTCTAGAATGCCAAGAATTACTTAAAGTTGGTTGTTTCTACATCAGATCCAACATGTAGCCTAAAGCTCTGGGAGTGATTTCAGAGATCTGTTTAGGTGTCTTTCCAGCTCCAGTGGCTAAAACAAAGGGACTCATTCCAAAATAAAAGTGGCCTGGGTGTGGTGGTACACTCTTGAAATCCCAGCAGCTCGGGAGGCTGAGGTAGGAGGATAGCAAGTTCAAAGCCAGCATCTGCAACTTAGGGAGGCCCTAAGCAACTTAGTGAGACCCTGTCTCAAAATAATACATAAAAATGGACTGGAGATGTGGCTCAATGGTTAAGCAACCTTGGGTTCAATACCTGGTTAAAAAAACAAACAAACAAACAAACAAACAGGTGGAGCCTGTGTAGAGTTAACCGGGGGCCTTCAGCAGCATCCCTGCTTTTACAGTGGTGCTCAATGAACCCAACAGCTACCCCCTATTCTCTGTGTTTTTCTGGGTAGTTCAGTGCCTCAGCTTCCCCCGTGGCCTCTTCCCTTGATGTGTGCCTTACTGTAGCTGACTCCAGACTCTCCAGCACCACTCCGTGGCTTCCTGTCAGTCCTCGGGATCACTAACATCTCTGACACTTAAAAGCCTGTTGCTTTATGTATTTATTTTTATGATCTAACTTTTATCATAGGTAATAAATGCACATGGTGCAAGAGACTCCATCAGCTGACAAGGTAAGAAGAAAAGATTCCCAGGCTCCCAGAACCCCGCCCAGAGGAACTATGAAAAGTTTCTTCTGATGCCTTCCAGAAGCAGTGGATATGCAAGCCCACATTTGGATATCATATGTTCTCTTTTAACACAAACTTCTGCATCTTGCTTTTCTACTTAATGATAGATTTTTCTGTTGCAGCCAAGATAGCTGTATTCACACTGTATTCCACCCACCAGAGGCAGAATAGTTAACTTAATCAGCTCTCTAGAGTTGCACATTTAGGTTGCTTCCAGTGTCTTGTCCCTGCCACTGTGCACATAGGCAAGGATGCCTGTCAGTCACGGACCCCATCCTAGAAGCAGCCTTGCTGGGAAGAGTCCTGCCTTGCTCCAGCTGTGCCTTCTCAGCTCCTTCCACCTGGTTCTACCACAAGTCCCTGATGTCAGCACCCACCTCTCAGTAACCAGAAGCAATGTCACCATCTCCCTGGGCCTCTCTCCTGGGGCTCCATCCTACACAACCTTGAGCCCAAGTTCAAAGAACCATATCTTCAATGGGTACAAATCAGTATGGCTGTACCCTCATTACATCAAAATTAAGTATCCAAAAGTGAACTCCTGAAACCAAACTCTCTTTATCTCCTCAATTTTGGCAGATGGAATAATATCTTACTGGGCTTGTGGACTAGAGCTCTTGGAGTTATCTAAGATATATATATTTATATTTGTTATCTCTCCTCTTCAATATATCACTGTGTGCTGTTTTCAAACTGCCCAATCCTATGTAGCAGGCAATGGGGTTTCCCTCCCTGTCAACTCTTCTTGGCTTTGCTGCTTCCTACTGAAGCCATGCATTTGACCCTGCCTTCATTCCTCCAACTCAGATCTTACAGGGAAGCTGATTCCATCCCAAGAAAACATTCTGGATTCTTCTTTGTTGGACTAGTCCAGTGGTGAGTATATGACTTACCTGGACAGAAAAAGAGGACTTATATCATTGAAGAGAAGGTTTTAGCATTTCTATTAAGTGCTAGCAAAAAAGCATGCAGCCCTGATTGCCACCAACAGGCATCTTAGGACCCAAAGAGGAAGCTGCCTTCGGGGTGGCAGAGCAAAAGGAACTCGACTCCTTTCATGACCTCCTGGGTAACTGATGGAACCAAAATCCCAGAGCCTGCCTCCCGGTCTACTTTCACTCCTGTGGCTTTATTGGTTAGGCCACTGTAAGCTGGGGTTCTCTGTTATTTGCAGCCAAAAGCATCCTCAGGGATCCAGCCTCATTTCCCCCACCAGTTCCTGGAGCACATCATCATCATTACAGATCCAAATCTCTGAAGCTGCCTCTTAACAAAGTCCCCACAGCTTGTCTCTTTGAGCTAATCATCCATTCTTCATGTCTATACCCAAATGTCCTAGAAATATATTTCTCTGCATACCTCCCCCTTGTACACAGGATCAAGTCTCAGCTCCTTAGCTTGACTCCTGAGCCTCTGCTCAGAGTAGGTCTGGTTATGCAGTGGGTCAAGGTCGATTTTGAGCCTTAGAGACCTGAATTGGAGGTGAGGCTTTCATTCATTGAACCTCTTGGCATCTCAGCTTCCCCATTTGTAAAATGGTTGTAGGGGACAGACAAGTCAGGGCACCAAAGATAGCAGGAAACAGTTTTATTTGGCTGCAGCCAGGTTCAGAGGGCACAGCTTTCACTATAATTAATTAATCCCCTGAACCCTGAGTTCAGGTAGTTTCAGAACTTTATACCCAGAGTATAAGGGAGGGGCTCACAAGTTCACAGTCTGCAGAGGTTCACCTAAAAGCAGCTTTTTCTTTCACTGTTCTGGGCAGGTTAACTCTTCAAGGACAACACCTGAGAAGGGAAGAGCTTCTTCTCCCTTTTCTTTCCTCCCCTGCCAGCTGTTACCATGGAGCCAAATTGGTAACTTATCTTAGAAATGTAGACATCTCTGT